TGTCACTATATTTGGTTATGGGGGAGGGAGGGGAAGGGGGCAAGGGGTGGATGGAGCAGCGCAGCTCCATTTTAGAGAACAGCGTGTTGTAATATAGCAGGCTTTTCATGTAAAACGACAAGAAACGAAAAAGAAAGTATTGGAAGACAGAGTCGTGTTTCCACTATTGCGCTCCCGCTCCCCCTCCCCCTTTCTCTCTCTCTCTCTCTCTCTCTCCCCCTCTCTCTCTCTCTCTCTCTCTCTCTCTCACTCTTTCTCTCTCCCTCCTTCTCGCTCTCTTCTTCTCTCTTACTCTCCCCCTTTCTCCCCTCATTCAATCTTCCCATTCCTTCCTCTTCTCTTCTCACATTCCTCCTGTCTCATCTTACTCCTCCTGTACTTTCTAATGCTGATCTTTCTCTCAGTCCTTCCTATTCTTCATCTGCACACCTCTCTCTTTCTCACCCTTACTGTCCCTCTCATTTCTATCTCCCTTCCTCCCTCCCTCTCTCTCTCTCTTTCTCTCTCTCTCTCCTTCTATCTCTTTCTCTCTCTACACTACCCCACCTTTCTCTCCCTTTCCCTCTATCTTTATGTGTATCTACAATGTATCTTTCTCTCTCTTTCTCTCATTACCCCTCCCTCCCTCACTCTCTCGTCCTCCCCCACTAACCCCGTTCCTTCTCGTCTCTATCCGCCCCCTTTCGCCAGATCTGCCTGTGCCTGTACCTCTTGTATCGACTGCACATTACTCCCTAATAGGGCGAATGGAGTCCTGTACTGTCTTCAATTTCAAATACCGCGTTCCTCCTTCTTTTAATGTCGTTTCCTCTTCCTTTCAAGCAAATAAAGCACATCAACAGGACGTGTTCTTAAGTGCAAGATGCCTTATTTAGGTACCAGAGTCCCATGCCGTGACCGCTTGATCTTTACAGGCAAATCGCGTTCTCAAATGAGAACTAGAAGGGCGTAAACATTCAAAGAAACAAAGAGTTGACGTCCTTCTGGCTCTTCGGAGAAAGCATGTAAGTGATCACCAAGTATTGCTTAAAAGCACTGGCTGACGAAGCGAATTCTTCCTTGCCTAAATGAATGGGTGCCGTTTTATATACTCTGAATTAACTATGGTAGAGGTATAGTCAAAGCTAAGGGAGGGGAGGGGTAAGGGATTGACAACTTAATCCACCTTAAGAGGGGGGGGGGGGGATATAATTGTCTTGCTCCGTGAACTAAGCGATTTATGGCGACCTGGCAAGAAAAAACAGTATCTACTACCCCTTACAAACCCAAGAAAACGAGACGAGAGGGCGTCCTCCCATCCCCCCCCCTAATCAGAGGCCTTGTTAGCTAGCATATCCTCTGAGTGAGAAGGGCCCCACGTGCCCCTTCAATGTTTGCACTTATGGAAAGCAACTGTTTATATTTTTTGAACAAAAATTAAGGATTTTCTAAGGGGACTGACAGGTAAAGAGCGTAGAATGACACACAGGTCATACGAAACACCATACGAAATTAACGACGGCCCCTATGTGTCATGTTTAAAAGGAAAGGTGTTCACACATGACTTAAAAAGATCAAGAATTTGTTATATTTGCCCTTATATTAGTATAGTTTTTCTTTGTAATCTACCGACATTGCTACCAGTACCATTGATATTTGTATTTTCAATTGCGCCATCTTTTGGTGAAAGCGCGTTCATAGAGCGATTTCTGGTTCCTACACCAAAGCATCATCATTAAATCGAGATTTGTGAGCTGCAGATGACAGTTTGTGTACATGTGAAGTTTTGTCAGTAGAATAGTACCCTGCCTTTATGTCAAACGAACAAACTAGGGACATTATTGTTTCGTATCGGGTCGTCTTATGCAGTGGTGCAGCGTGATAACAGTCACGGGGGCACTATTCATTATGTAGGGGGGGGGGGGGGGGGGGGCATCGGTATTACCAGTGGGATGACACAGAGGCCAATAATCAGGGGAAGGGTGTAGAAGGGGGTCCTTTTCATCCTTTTTTCCAAGGATATGTTCCTCCTTTCCACCTCTCTCTCTCTCTCTCTCTCTGTCTCCCCTTCTAATTTTCGGTTTTCATCCAGTAGCTACGTCCTGGTGTACTTAGTGTAAAGTATTTTATTCCTTCACATGTTTATTGTATTCATTTCAAAATGCAGTGGACGGATTCGATTTCTATTGCAGACCGAAAAGGGATCAGTTTGGCAGATTCAGTGATAATGCTCTAGCGCCACTAACGGTACAAAACCATTTATGGCGTCTTTTGCAAAAATAAAATATGCTCTGCAATTTTTGAACGGGATTACTGCATTGGTCTATTGCACTAAAACGTGTTTAGCGCCATCTTTTGTTTATGACATATTTGAGAGTCACGGTTTAAATGACATGTATATAGATAGATACATGTCATTGTGTGCGGGCGAGCACTGAATCCAATGACCGGGGTAATAGTATATTTGTAAAGCGCTTAGAGACATTTTTTTAAAGCGCCATATAAAAATTGAATATTATTATTATTAGTATACTGCTAAAAGGTTCAGTAGGAATCAGGCCGCTGTGCGAGAAAGTAGTGCCACTAGGAATAAATCATATTCAAAATAAAAGTAAAACATTAAAGAGTATCTATACTCGGTAAGAAATTGTGTAAAGTTCAGACCATCAAATATTCTTCAAAATATTTCTTCTCCCGTTCAAATTTACAAGGTACAATTTTAAATAGTTATTCCTCCTTATTATGATTTGTCTCCTCTATCATATTGCCATATTTCCCCGTTCTCAGTAAAGATGGAGCACCTTAATTATTCCTTTAACCTTTATAAATATATTATGAAGGATGAAGCAATTTCAATCCATCTCCAATCCCCTCATAATTAGGCCATACAAAATACTAATAATTATAGATGGATATAACAATACAATTTTCTCTTTGTAATGATAAGCTTGCATGGTTTTGTATGCTTTCTGATACCATAATCCTCATGAAATGCGAAATATTACACTCCATTAGTGCCCACTCACATCTGCGCATAGAAAACAAAGAAAACCTATCACGAAATTGGTATTTATAGGATTAGAAAGCCGAGGGCAGACAGATCGAAGACCAAACTGATGGGTACTAGACACGCTGGGTACAGTGACGTCGCTACGAAAGTGTTTTCCCAGAAGGAAACTGTAGTTTTTTTGTGGCCATGATGTAGTTAGGAGAGATGGGGAGTGTTTCACAAAGATCCTAAATTTAACTTATCTCTAAGTTGGACTTAGCAATTATGGAAAGCCATTAGCATCTTTGATTTTTTTTTTGTAAAAGTCATTTTAAAACGCATAAAATGTCGGTTCACTGAAATCATTCATATTTGGTATTTTTCAAGGAGATTTCATGTTCTTGATGTGGAATCTAAGAAAAGTCTAAAATACTTGAACTTTTGCTTTTGAATATATTTTATTTTAAGACTACAAATGGCTCTCCATGTGTACAGTGCTTGTAACTTTACCAAGCCATTGCCAGATTTTTTATCATTCTGATAATTCCAAAACCTTGCAGTACACACCAATAATTAAATGCTAAGATGTTCAACCTTTTCTGATAGATTCCACACGGTTTCTTTCACAATGCAATCGCATGACCAGAACCCAACTTAGAGTTAAGTTCGACTCAGGATCTTTGTGAAACACCCCCATGGTCTGGGAAAGTCCCTTATAAAAGAAACTGTGGAAGCCTGGCAAAGAAGAGGCACACCTGTTAAACGTTGAACGATATTCACTCATTATGGATAGTCAGAAAAACAAATGTCAGGGGAACAAGAGCGACGGCAGATAGAGAGGGATGTCGGCACCAACTTTGGATGGCCACTGCAGCGCAGCTTGTGCCACGTGATTGAAAAGAGAACGAAGCTATGATAATTAATTGTGTCTGGGGGTGTTTTATCTCGAAAATATTAGACCGCGGTGAGGAATTGCGAATGTTATCATGAGGCAGACTCTGAGTTAAACCTGATTTATCTTACTACATTAATGTATGCAACCCCATTCTATCTATCAAGGTATTTTCTCCTAGTTTGGAGGTTGATTGAAATATTTTTCTCACACATCTCTGTTTTTTGCCATCCCAGTACACTCTTGCAGTGTTATTCCACTCCCAATTAATTCGCCATTCTGTGCAACATTTTTTTTAGGGGGGGGGGGGATTTCGACCCCTCCCCGAAATATTTTTGTTTTTCATTTTAGTTTCAGAATCTGGGTAATATTTGCGGAATGAAGACATTTTCGTAAACAGAATAACCCATATTGATGCAATAATTTTGCATTTAGCCTTCGCATAATGTAAGTTCCCTGTAACGAACACCTACAATGTTCGAAAGTAAAGAAAAATACATAATATGTTTTTCAATTTTCATGGTCAGTTCAATAATACGGTTCTCCATTGTAATTTCCTGTTGGACAATACTGTAATGGCAAGGTGGGAGGGGAAGGGAGTGGGAAGGGAGTTACGGAATGACCCTAATGATCGGAAACATTTTTATTTTTGCTGAAATTATACTGTTTATAATATTATTATAATAGAAGGCGTCTACCATAAAATGATAATATCAATTAAAAATAAAAACCAATTTAGAACTTCCCAAAGCGTGGTTGGATAACGATTCTTACAATTAATATAGATTCTCCTTCTTTTTTAAAAATGAAAATGGAATGTTTCCTTATAAATATCTTTATTTCCTTCTAAAATAAGATTGAAATACAATTGATGACAACTATTAGTCAAAACAACGTGGGAGAATTGAGTTTCATAAATTGTACTTGTTGATTCCGGCTTAGGTAATTTTGAGCAAGCGTTCGCCCAAAATGTAAACATTTCTTCAGAATAGATTACTTATCTCATGAGCGGTAAATATGCACAATTTATTTGCACTTTTCGTTAAAATTCAAACTATCATCACTGAAGTAGCATTCATGTGTACAATGCATATTCTGTGCCTCATGCATTCACGATTCATTATTGTTTTCTCCTCATAGGAAATGAACAAGGCGGTGCTTTCAGCAGACACAGAAGCCCGCGACACGACGACCCTTGCTAAAGAGCGTGACGTCAAACCGAAAGTCACGTGCAGGGGGCGCAATCGACCAATCATGACGCGCCAGAGATCTGTGAGTGTGTCGCCCGACCGGATTGTACGCTTCACACGGACAGCACACAATGAGAAGCCAACCAATCTCAGGCGCAGTCTCTCCGAAATTGGCAAGAGCAAGCACGTTGACGAACACTATAAAGGCCTGGCACCTCGTTCACGGAGTTTAGATATCGATTTGGGAGAGAGAAGCGCTGATGCGAGTTCTCGAAAAAATATCAGTGTCTCAAATCCACCTCAGTATCACTATCATCGAAGTGAGTGTGAGCAAATCAAATCACGTTCACCGTCTCTAAGTAGAAGCATCAGCCTAACCCGACCCATAGCTTGGTTCAGAAAACGCTGGCTTTTCCATCAGCTTTCTGACAGCGGAGTACTTCTAGGTGATCTAACTAGCACCATGCATCAGGAACGTAAAATGACCAGGTCTTCATCCGTAGCTGATGTTGACATCAAGCCTCCTTCTCCTAAATCATCCAACGAGTCGAGAAGGAATAAACACCAGAAGATGGGGCCACATCCCAAGAAGAAGATGCTTCGATCTCACAGCGAGTCTGCCATTGACATGAAAATCCTGCAGAGCTTGATGAAACACAGCTCCACTGCACCCGTCGATGACAACAAACCAGCCGGGATCATCTGCAGCAACGAGGACTTCAAGAAAATCATCACCGACTCTAAGCGCCATCGTTTTGGACGCAAGAGAAACAATACCATGGTGATCCAACTCGAGACAACGCCAGAGGCTCCTGCTGAAACCGAGACCCACCTGGACAACCGTCTAAGCGAGAAAGAGGAATCATCCACCGTAAAGGACAATGTGTCTGTGGCACAAGAGCGAAGGGGAAGCAGGGACCGCGTCATCAAGTTACCGATGAGGCAATGTGCTTCTGACCCCAACAGCCCGGCTCATCTGAGTGAAGCCAGGCGAGATATCATGCGGCTTTCTCCTCTTATGCTGCATAAGAACAATGTAAACAATTCTTCCATGAACATCAATCGTACCGTGCACCTCTCACCGAAAGCCTTAACGAGTAGACTCACAAAATGCAATGCCAACGCAGAAGAACTCGAACCTATGCTTCCCAAGGACAATAATGGCAACCATCTCATCGAGAAAATGCAACTTGTCGATGACGTTGTAATCGAGGAGGAGGAGGAGGAGAATGTGGATGTGGAAAAGGAGAGCAGCGAGGAGGAGCAACAGATTGAGAACATCCAAACGAACAATGCCAATGACAACGAGTCTAAGAAGAAGTCGGAATCCGCCTTTGATGCCCAGCTCCTCGGGGAAGCAATAGAGCGACACTTAGCAATGCAAAAGAGTCCCGGTCGAAAGAGTCCGCGTTACGGTGAGGGGAGGAAGCGATCGGGTTCCCTCAAGAACATGTTGGTGCAGAACAATTCGCAGATCTCAGCTCGTCTGGGAAGTCTCATCTCTCGGTTTCCTTTCAGACGCGAGGGGTCTGTAAGCCCAACGAACAGTGAAACCGGAGTCACCGTTTAAACAGGACTAAGCACCTTTTCAAAAGACACTATGGCCTGGAGTCATGAACTTTAACGCAGACTTTGTACCAACCACAACCCCACGGATCCACCATGCTCTATTGTGTACATTCATCATGTATATTCTATTGTCTATGATTGCATTTCCATATTGATATTGCTCATTGTTCGATTGAAATTAATGCTGTCAAGTCCTTCATAAAATGCTTGAATTTGGTCAATAGTATCTAAAAGTTGTGCACAAAAGCGTTCCAAAATTTCCTTGTTTGATTTCCAAGTTTATCGTAACAATTATCTCTTGAAAATATGGCTTTATCGACAGCCTAATTAATTTTGTAAAGAACAATAATATATTTTTTGAGTTGTAAATGTAAATTTCTCACATGTATTCACATGTATTGAACCCAAACAATTCTAAACTCAGTCTTTGTGTAACGCTTTCATTAATAACATTTATCTGTTTACCAAATACAATCTTATGGCTATAAACCTGACTGTAAAAGATACCGTGACAACAACATATTGGACTTTCGACAAATGTAATCAAAATGTGATTTTATTATTGTATATAGAATGCTTATCAAATATTTGACATGTTTGACATATCTATTAAATAACTCTGTCTCTGACAGTACTATTTCATTATGAAAACTTAATTGAAATTGTCATTGTACTCATTTTGAAAACATCTTTTCATTGGATTTATGTGGCGATTGACTGTGAGAGGGTGGTAGAGATAGAGAGAGAGAGAGAGAGAGAGAGAGAGAGAGAGAGAGAGAGAGAGAGAGAGAGACAAGGAGAGTGAGAGAATAGTGTAGCGAGAGAGTGTGATAGAGTGGGGGAGGGTAAGAGATATAAAGAAAAAGAGATATTGAGAGAAAGTTTGAGAGAAAGCGTAAGAGTGAGAGGGAGAGAGAGATAGAGTAAAATTGGTTGCAAATTAATTGAGATAGAAGAGAAAAGGAGAGAGACGGAGAGAACTAAAAACTGTGGAAGAAGTGTGAGTGTTTTTTTTTAAAGTGAAACAAAACGGTGAGATGGTAGTTGCAGATAATATATATAAAATGCAATGACGAGACAGTGACTCATGGTTACTCTTCATTTAAGATTGGCCGAAATAAGATGTTCATTTGATAACCTGTCATCTGTCTCTATTCCTCTCTTTGTCTTTTTGCATCTTACTTATTTCTAGTCCGATCTAACCTTCACATCTATACTTCTTTCTATTTTCATATCCTTCTTCTTTATTTGAATTATCACATATGAAATCGGCTGCCTGTTCTTCACTCTCAATAATTTATCTATACATCTCACTCGAAACTACGGCCTACCCCATATGCTTATCTATCACACATGAAGCAATACATCTACTCAAACTCACTATGCATCGCATTCATAACATCCTTCAACCCCAAAATGCATTTTCGCGATTACCATCATCACCTCGGGTAGTACAGCAATATGGAGTACGTGCAGTATATTTAGCACGCCGTCAAGGCATCCTATTTATCAACTCAACATTTCTTTGTCTTTGGCATAGAGAGAATACGAGTTGCAGGATCTGATACCAGAAATGGAAAACCCATTTGCTTAATTTGAACCCCCTTCAGCTAGGCTTTCGCTCGTCATTCGTCGGCTATTACATCAATCATGAATCCGCTTTTTCTGGCTTTTTGTTGGCTTTTGTCCTATTTTTGTATCCATTACACCTTTGCTTCCGCAAATCTACACCAAATTATGGTCTGTCCTGAATGCTTTTAGCAATCTATATTATATTTCCTGCTTTCTGCCTGCTATACTTCGTTATCTAATCAGAATGGAGAATATTAGGTTAAAATCTACATTATATATGTAGTTAACAAAATGAATTTAGGGTTAATGCACGGATACGCATTTGGGATGAATCTAGAACCCCCATATATCTATCGTGATTCAGGGAGGTTCTCATAATTGGTCAAAAATGTATACAAAAATACTACAAAATCACTTTTAGGCATCTGATCAATTAGAAGAAAAATGAGACTACCTTATTGATATATAATAAGATAACTTAAGATAAGTTAAGATAATCTATGAAGATTAGAAATGATCAGATACCCCACTGAACATATTTTGTGATAATGGGCTTTCCAATGCACACGTGACTTTTAATAATCTATGCTCCTTTATTTCCCATAATTTAGACCTTTTCACGATCTCATTTCATTTTCCTTACCTCTATAAATATATAATAAAGTATTTCCCTTACCAATTTTCCACTTGATGTAAAACAATAAAGAAATAAAAGAAATGTAGATGAAATCTAAAAAACACAACATCATCGAAATCAACAATGACTAGTATATTATTTACTCCAAAATCTCTCAAAGAGATGTGTCGATTCTAAAATGAACAAAGATAATACGAACGATACATTTCAATATTCGTTTCTACACTGCAAATATTTTTCTTCACGTAATGAATGCATCGTATACGATCATATACTGACAGTACAATGGGGCATGAGAAAAAAGATCTTTGAAAAAAAGAACAGAAGCAGGGAATAAATTATCAGTAAATCATAGGATTGTTCAAGATAGATATAAAACAATATTCAATCATTTTCTTCAGGCATGCCATATCGGTCTTATCGAATCCACAATCCTCGAAAAGGTTGATATTATTTTTGGAAGCATAAAATGGATTATGCCTTGCTTGCTGTGCAGTTAGACGCAAAGCATTTTGTTTGCGAGCCAGCCATAAATTTTATTTCCTACCCGATGAATCTCACCCACCGTCTGTATATTGATGAGGTCTGACTGTATGCCGAACACTGACATGCTGAGACGTACATATTTAATGAGTGTGCGTGCATCTTGTGGGGCAAGGATATCTGTGTGGGGGTGCGTTAATGCGTGTGTGTATATACGTTTCGTCTATATTTGCAAGTCTGCTGCGTGTTTCTGATAATAATGGAGAACTGTTCGTCGTTTTTGATAACATATTGACCCTCACTGACTGCTGATTCTTATTCAACAGAAAATCGCTTCCTTTTAACAAATGCTTACATCTAAATTAGACAACAAAATATATTGCATGGTGAAGATTTAAGAGAAAGTATGACAAATTTCTAAATAATTGACTCGAAATATGCTTACATCGACTTGAATTGGTATATTTACGAATGTCTTCAATGGCTTGTATCTTGACAGGAAATTGCAGTGTAAACGATTTAACCCAGGATGATTAAACAGAAAACACAACAATAAACTATTCGCAATACATATTCACTAGAAGAACAAAATAAATATCTACATAGTTCAAATGTGTTTACATCTTAATCCTATGACATCTATCATGAATGTCTGGAATGAATGTCTGCAAGATTAAACATGGTCTAGTTAGATAGAACAAGAAAGGGAAGTATTCGTCAACATTTATTCACTGTGAATGTTTTTTTGGAGAATTCAAATCATTGATTTTCTACATTTTAAAAATACCCATTCATATCAACTACATTGGTTCGATTTTTTTAAGGACGTTGCTACTGCTTGTCGGTTATCGACTGCTTGATGTTTTCAAAGAGGAAAAATATTTAGATATAAAATATGCCCTTCAAATCATGCGTGTTTTTCTATTGCAAACGTCTAGGCATTAATCGATTGAGCGTACCTCAGTACCCCATCCCACACTCACATACACGCATTATTGACTTAATTGACTCAGAAAACTTCCTCCCTGCAATATTTTTCTTCGAATTTCAAGTCTATTACCTATTAAAACAGAATGACGTGAAATTATTGCGGTTTAAATAAGGATTAATCTGACCTATTAAATTGGAAAGACAATGTCATAGAATGTAAGGAAGTGTGGTAGGAAGAGAGAGAGAGAGAGAGAGAGAGAGAGAGAGAGAGAGAGAGAGGGAGATACAAGAGAGCGATATATATTTATACAGAGAGAGAGAGAGAGAGAGAGAAAGAGAGAGATCGCTAGAAAAATAAGGGGACAAAAAGCATGATGAGAAGAGATACGGCCGAGTGGATAGAAATAGCTGGAGATATTATAAAGGAGGGTACAAGGGAAGGAGGGAGTGAAAGAAGAAAAGAGAACGTCACAAGAGATGTGGCAGAATTATGATGGACAGACAGGAAAATAAGAGAGGGGATCGGCGGATAAAACAGAAAGATTTAAAAAGAGAGATTGAGACATAGACAGAGACAGAGAGAAAGAGAGAAAGAGCGAAAGAGAGAGAAAGAGAGACAGAGGTAGACACGAAAGAGACAGTTAGACACATGCGTAATCAATAGCGAAAGTCAAAAGGAGACAGATAAAATGACAGAGATATACAAATACAAATTAATATAAAAGAGGAGAAGAGAATTAAGGGAGGGTAAAAATGAAACAAAATCCTTCATTAGTCGAGTTAAACACATAAATTGAAACCACAGGTTATACTCCCTATATGCGAGTTTCACGTGATAACTACATTTCCAGGGTAAAGTCAGTGCAGCTTCATGCATACAGCTAGCGAGCTGCAAGCATTCACCCCACAATGCTGAATTAAGGGCATAACAAATGCGGTTTTACTAGCTGCATTCATTATGCCCGTTGACATTTACAGAAGAGGGTATCATGGCCATCCTACTTAAAGACGAGCAATTTTTTAATTTTTTATCACCGACGCCATTTTGTTTGTTTCTTTACGGCTATTATAGTACGTCAAAGGTATTTTTGTTAGTAAAAAGAAAAGTGGATGTGGATTAAAACGCTCCAAAAACATATTGAAAATTTTCAGGCAAAACCTATTTTGTCTAGAGAGTATAGGAGGAGAAATTTGATTACTTTGACTCGTTATCTTTGCTTTCTGCATCCGATAAATGAACTACGCAATTAGATGGGTCTTAATTACCTAAAAAATGTCCAGTTATGGGAAATGTTAAAATTTCAAAATAAACACGTAGGGTAATGAAACTATTCGACACTGTGACAATTATCGAATTAATGATGCCCCACACATAATTATGGTCTAGAGGATAGGGCACTGTACCACAGGGAAAGGGGTTCGAATACCTGCCACAGCACTTAAACGTCCTTTAGCAAAACATTCATCTACATGTCCCACACTCACAATACTTGACCCAGGTGAAGTAAATAGGCACGTGGCAAGAATTAAAGCCTTTCAATGCTAGAGAGCCTCATTATTAGCCATGCTAAAGGGAACGATGTCTTTAAGCAGGGCTCCCACTTAGCCGAGTTGTATTAGCGAGTTATGGTGAGTTGCCTCAAAGAGGCACTCGCAATAACTCGCGAACAATTCGGTATGGCTTAGCGTAACTCTTTACAACATTCCACGACTCTCCTCGAAGTCGTGAGCAGTTCCAAAATGTTGAACATGTTCACAAATTTTCCCCGATTCGTTGTAATTCGAGGTGAACTCGCCTACACTCGTAATATACTCGCATTACTCGTAACAAGCTCGCTCTGCACTCTTCATAACTCGTAGCAACTCGCCACCTTATGAAGAGTGCAGCGCGAGCTTGTTACGAGTAATGCGAGTATATTATGAGTGTAAGCGAGTTCACCTCGAGTAACAACGAATTCACCTCGAGTAAAAACGAATTCACCTCGAGTAACAACGAATCAGTGAAAATTTTGAACATGTTCAAAATTTTCGCTG